TATGTATCTTGGTTGCACCTTTGTTCTTAAGTATATCAGCTGATCTTGAACTCGAGCTAAGTATATCAGGTGAAAGATTGAACCAGGGGGCTGCTGGGGAGGGAATACTGATTGATTCTTATACATATAGTTAGCTTTTGCTGGATAACACATTACTCCAAAACTTGATGATTTAAAACAACCATTTTATTTAGTTCACGATTCTGTGGGTCAGCTGGGAGACTCTGGTCTGGGCTGTGTCTGTGGTGAGTTAGTGATCTAGGCTGATCTAGGATGGCCTCGGTCACGTGTCCATCGGCTGCCGGGCTGTCAGGTGGGTGCCTCTGTTCCCCTGTTCTCCACATGGTCTCGCATCCTCCAGCAGGTCAGCTCGCTCACAAGGTGGTCTTGGGGCAAGTGCACAAGCTCCAATGCCCCTGCATGGTGTTCGCCAAAGTCCCTTTGGGCAAAGCCAGTCTCATGACGGAGCACAGCGCAGCGTGGCAGGGCGTTGCCAGAGAGCAGGGAAGCAGGAAGAGGAAGATTTGAGGCCAATTTTGCAATCTACTGTAGCTCCCTCGGGGAAGGGGAGTCAAAAGTTCCTTCTCTGTGGCCCGTGGGCCAGGGCAACCTCCAGATGGGGATCGTCAAAGCGGTGACTCAGGCTCTAGGACTTCCCTGTCCCTCCAGGGCCAGTGCTGCGGGAGGCGAGCTGGATCCAGACCCTGACCCCACGAGTTTCCCCACGTGGGGAAGGTGCAGGAGCTTGCGCGGCTAGTGGGGAGGGCCTCCTGCACGGGGAGGAAGGTGTTCTGACCCTGGCTCCTCACTCCCTCAGCTCACCCCAAAGTGCGGATCTGTCTTAAGGGCCCACCCCCGCCCCCACCTCCCAGCATCCCTTTGGTAATGAGGGGCTGGATGGCTCTGAGACTTGTGCCTCATCACCATGGTAACTGGTGCCACCTGCTCCCTAAAGGTCGAGGAGGAGTCCCTGAGCGTCCCTTTCAGGGGGTGACTGTGGCCTCAGCATGTCTCTTCCGCAGGTGGCTGCGCTGGAGCGGCAGATCTTTGACTTCCTGGGCTACCAATGGGCTCCCATCCTGGCCAACTTCCTGCACATCATGGCGGTCATCCTGGGCATCTTTGGCACCGTGCAGTACCGCTCCCGGTACCTCATTCTGGTACGGCTCACCCAGCACCTTCCCAAGCCCACCCCTGCCCACTCACCCCTGCTGCTCACCCGGAACTGCCCCCCAGCGCTGGGCATCCAGACCGGCTTGTCCTGGTTCCAGCCTCGCTGGTGGGGTGAATGTCCAAATCCCAGGGCTCCTTTGCTCAGAGGAGACAAGGTTGGTATTTTTCTCTAAGAATTTCCTGGGGAAATAATCCAAATATACACAAAACAGCATGTGCGGGGCACACTGCCAGGAGTTCCCTTGCTTTGTCTCATCTTTACAGCAGCCCTGTGAGGTACATCGCGCTAGCTCCATTTTCCAGATGAGGGAACGGAGGCTCAGAAAGGTTACGAGTCTTCCTAAGGTCACACAGCCAATAAAGGCAGGGCCAGGATTAGAGCGAGAGATCTGGAGTGAAGGCTCCTGCCGCGGCACCACACTGCCTCAGTAAGCCAGCGGCGGACAGGGAGGGGCGGGCTTCTGGAAGGCCTGGCTTTTGTCCCTCCACCCGCTGTTCGTCGAGGATGTGGCGTGGAGCAGCCTGTGTGGCTCTGAGGGCAGTGCCTCCCTGTGCTCCAGCTCAGGAGTCGGACTGTGGCCCCAGCCCCTTCCCCGACTGTCCCTTCTCAAGCCCTGGTCCCACATGGTCTGTGTCAAACCCCTGCTTTCAGCTAGACTGACCCGCATTCCCTGCTTTCCTCGGAGACCTCCTCATATGGCTCTCATGGGAAAAGGCTTTTCCTAGATTTACGACATGTGCTTGACACCTACAGTCACAGTGACATGCAATGTCATGCTGCCCCAGAGCCCACACACACTCATTCTAGAACTTCTTCCCCCCACTCCCCACGGGCTCGGTTCCTAGAAGCCAGGGGAACAGGGCCCTGAAAAGCTCTCTCACCTGACATAAGAGAATACTTCTCTCCCGTTCTCAGGAAGGCCCCAGGCCCCCCTGTCAACACCACTGTCTGCCAGGTGACAGCCACTGGAATTGCAGGCACGGGACTCAGATGGAAGCATCCAGCCCGTAAAACTGTCCTAACCTCCTCCTGTCCAGCCCATGGCTGGGGGCAGAATGCTGTCCTCCCCAGAAGTGAGACGTGGGACAACTGAGGGGCCCACGGGGGTCTGCCCTGGCGATGCTGCTCCCAGCCCCCCTCCGGCCAGATGGAAGGGTGCACCTGTGTCGCTCGGCTGCAGTTACAGAGCAGGGAAGGGACTGGCAGTGTGACAGCTTGCAAGCCGGACCCCCCTTCCAACCTTGGGGCCTCTGCTTGGTCTGTCGCCCCAGCCTTTCTCCAGGCCCCACCTGTGGCCCTGCCCCCACCTCCCCGCATCCCCTGTACACGGACTCCAGCCATAGCCACGTGTGGGATGATGTCACACTTAGGCACCAGGCTGCGGGATTACCTCCTGTCTCTTTTGGTCTGAAGTTCCCGGCATCCTCAAACCGTTGCTGACTTGACTTACCTTCTCACAGACAAGGGCAGCCACTTACAAGAATGAAGGCTTCTTCCTAGGAGGTGAAGAGGTCCCTCATTCTCCCCACCACCGCCTCCAATCTAGACAATTCCAGTGCTCTGCCTCAGGCCTTCTGACGTCCCACTTCTAATTACCAGCTTGGCCTAACATGCACACTTCATATAAGGCACTTCCTGTCATCTTGATAATTCATGCCGCCGTGGGACCGCTCGTGCTGGGCACTGGCGTTACAGTGGAGAATAAGGCAGGCAAGGTCCTCACCCTCGGGAGCACGTTCCTAAAAGTGTTATCCGAGCCACGATCCCCAAGGGATTGTTTAAACAGCTCCTGAGCACCATCCTAGCAATTCGCAATCAGTAGGTCTAGAGGGAGGACCCAAGAATCTGCGTTTTAAACAAACTTCCCAAGTGATTCCAATATATTCTATGTATTCTAGAGACAGCTGGTCTGGAGGCTGCCGTTCTCAGCAGAGGGGGTCGCATTAGCTACCGGAGGACTTGGATTTGCGTGCCAGCCCTACCTCTTCCTAGCTGTGTGATCTTAGAAAGCCTAAACCTCCTCTTGGCCTTAAATGAGTTACCTCTAAAGAGAGGACAATGGCTACTTTGCAGGGCTGTTGTAAGGGCTGATGGGTGTGAAAATGATTTGAAACGATAGTGTGCCCTCTCAGTGAGGTACTATCATAATTACCCCTGCAGAGGTGTCCTCAGTGCCTGAGCTCTGTCTCCACTGACACGCCCATCCCCACTCCCCCAGGCCCCGCCCTGATCCCACCTCTGCTTTCCCCAGTATGCAGCCTGGCTGGTGCTCTGGGTTGGCTGGAATGCGTTTATCATCTGCTTCTACCTGGAGGTTGGACAGCTGTCCCAGGTAAGCCTCAGGCCTGGCGGTGCCCCAGGGCAGAGCCCCCCTTTCCCATCCCCTGCCCCTCGTGCTCCTAGTGTGGCATAGGTATGGGGCATCCTCTCTTAAGAGACCTCCTTCTTACTACACACCCAAATAATCTGTGCGCCCCATTCCCCACCCACATATTTTTGTTTCTGGCCTCCTCTGCACTTCTCAAAAACAACGATGGAGCAAGTAAAGCTGAAGAGCCAGCCATGTGAAGATGGGCTGGGGGTCCCAGTTGACCACAAACTCAGTAAAAATAAATAGTATGTGGTGGCCCAGAAAGCTACTCTTAGGCCCTACTAATAGAGGTAAAATGTTCAGAGCAAGGGAGGTGAAAATGCCATGCGCTTTGTACCCACAGAGATTTGGGTGCGGTCCTGATCGATATTTTTCAGAAGGGAAAGAGACTAGTAAGATTGTGTTCGGGGAAGACTGAGCAGACCGTGTCACATGGAGACAACTACTGAAGAAAGGGACTGTTTATTCACCAGAAGACGGGTTTAAAAAAAAAAAGTGGGACCGTTTAGCTTGCGTAAGATCAAGTCCAGAGCGATACACCTTCTGTTTTTAGACATAAAGAAAGCAAAATATGTGAATAAGAGCATTGCCTTTGCAGTTTGACCCTGCTAGATTCAAACCCCTGCTCTAACATTTCCTCGCTGTGTGACCCTGGGTAAGTGGCTTATCCTCTCTGAGCTTCACTTTCCTCATCTAGTAGGCGGAGATAATAGCAACTGCAATTTCATGTGGTTGCTGAGGGGATGAAACATCGGATCACGCATCTGAGTGCTTGGCCCGTCGGCAGGTATTGCATACTTACTGACTAACGAATGGATGGATTGATGAACACCTGGGTGCACACCTGGGTGAGCACTGGCCTAGGCCAGCCCCTTCCCCATCTAACAAATGGAGAGACTAAGGACCAATGAGAGGAGAGTTTTGCCCAGAGTCACACAGGGGCAGAGCAGTGGAGAGACTGAATGGACTGTGAAGCGGTCTGCATTGAGGATTTCACCAACAGCTGGGAAATTGAACCCAGTTACTGTTAATGTCCCTTCCAGCCCTGGGCTTCTGTGGGTGAGCATCAGTGCAGGATGGAAGAGGCCTGCATGGTCATCGGGTGCCATCTACTGGCCAAGTGTGGACTCGCAGGTGCAGACTCCCAAATCCAACCAGAGAGGCTGTTACAACCTCTAGGTGTAAAGTAGGCCTTAAATAGTCTCCTGGGGCCTGGGAGGGTATATCCCCCTCTCTCTCCCCCGAGCTCAGTATCCCAGGCCCCTCTTCCCCCAGGACCGGGACTTCATCATGACCTTCAACACGTCCCTGCACCGCTCCTGGTGGATGGAAAACGGGCCTGGCTGCCTGGTGACACCTGTTCTGAACTCCCGCCTGGCCCTGGAGGACCACCATGTCATCTCTGTCACTGGCTGCCTCCTTGACTATCCCTACATTGAAGCCCTCAGCAGTGCCCTGCAGATCTTCCTGGCAGTGAGTCCTTCTGTGCCCCCACCCCCGCACACTCCCAGAGCACCCCAACCCTTTTCGTTAGCCCTAGCTAAGAGGGGATGAACCTAGGACTTCCACCCTGCATGTGCTTCTGCCTGGATCTGTTTCCATGCCTTGTGCCACCTCCCTTCCCCTCTGCCCCAGCCCCCTTGCGGGGAGTCAGCAGGTTTAAGGAATAGGATGAGGCACCAAACCACGAGTCATCCTGGGTTTAAATACCCAGTACACCTGCTGCATGACCTTGAACAAGTCGCTTGCCCTCTCCAAGCTTGTTTCTTTATTCACAAAAAGGAGTGAATAAGGGTTGTGACAATAAGAAAGTGGCTCCAAGGTAGTGGTAGTTGCCGTTTCCAGGAGGGCCAGCCCTGCCCTAAGGGTCGCATAGTCCTTGTTCCTTTTAACAAGCCATTAAGCTGTTGCCCAGGTCCAACTGGGAAAACTGAGGCTCAAAGAGGTAAAATAATTACCTATCTGAAGTTAGACTCCCAGAAGAATTGGACCAGGTATGTTTGCTTTAAGGTGCAGTCATTTAACTTGAAGTTATGGGTTTGCCTTCATCCTGGCATGCCCCCTCCCTCCTCAGTCAGGGTGGGCAGGGCCAGGCAGGGGGTCCAGGAAAAGGCTCCCTCTCCTCCTTCCCTCCCTCATGTGTCGCCCCCTCCCCCAGCTGTTCGGCTTCGTGTTCGCCTGCTACGTGAGCAAAGTGTTCCTGGAGGAGGAGGACAGCTGTGAGTAAGGCACCCCTGGGGAAATGGGGAGCCTGGCCCCGTACCGCCCCTCGTGTTCAGCACCCTGGACAGAGGCCCGGACTGGGCCTTGGCGGGAGGGAAGCTAGGTCAGCCAAGGGGCCCCTTTCGAGAGGAAGAAGAGGCGGCTGGGGTCGATGGGGGTCTGCAGAGCCAGCCCATTCTGGAATGAGGCCCAGACGTCCAGGTGCCCTGGCCATGGCCCCAGCGCCTTTTCCCTATCTCGCCCCACCCCCATCGGAGGTCTCGGTTCCTGGAGCCCCGACCCCAAGAGACTTCTCTCTTGCAGCGCCGCCCTGCCTCCCAGGCTCGAGTCTCGAATATCGGGGACTTCAGCCCCTGCTGGCCCAGCTCCTGTGCTCCCGGCCCTCGGAGGCCCATCCCCCAGGGCCCTGCCGCAAAGCCCGCCCCTAAGGCGCGTAGGGGGTCGGACCCTCGCCGGGTGTCTCTGGCTCTGCTTCCCGGGGACGGGGCCCTGCCCTTTGATTCTTGCCTTTCAGGACCCAGCCTCCCGTGACTAGCCCCCACCGGCGTGTCCCTAATCATGCGCCACCTCCCTTTCCGCAGTTGACTTCATCGGCGGCTTCGACTCCTACGGATACCAGGCGCCCCAGAAGACGTCGCATTTGCAACTGCAGCCTCTGTACACGTGGGTCGTGGCACCGAGCGGTGGGGCGGGCGGGACGTGCATTAGTGCTGGGGAAAGCAGGGGTGGAGGGGCAGGCGAGATCTACGCCCCTCCCCTGACCCGCCTCTGTTCCCCGCAGGTCAGGGTAGCCGCTGCCTGGCGCCGCGCCCTGGGCACCCTCGGACTGCCCGCGGCACCCCCCGAGCTCGGGCCCCGGCGGACGGCGCCCCCTGGCGGCCCGCGGACCCACTGCAGCCTGTGCCGGCCCCCTGGGTCTACAGCCGAGAAGTGGACTTGGACTTGGCCCTTCGCGTCCGGACTGCAGGAGCAGGGCGGGACGGGGGAGGGGATGGCGGGTTCGTATTTTTTTATCACAGCCTTGGCGTGCGCTGGGGCCTTCCTCCCTTCTCCAGCCTCTCCCTTTCACCTTTCGCCCAGCATCCCGCCCCCTTTCAGAGAGAAACAGCAGACAGCCGACTCAGCGCATCTCACCGCACTCACTCACCAGCCCTGGGGACAGCCACTGTGAACTAGGAGCAGGAGTCCTGGGTTCTCATCGCAGCTCCATCACTGACTGAGTGACGTCTAGCAAAGCCTTTTCCTCTTTGGGCCTCAGTTTCCCCACATCAAATTAAAATAATCCTTTAGCAGGTGGACTCTTCTAGCCTTCTGGTTTGACTCAATTCCTTGGGCAAGACTGGGATTATAATTCCCATTTTGCAGATATGGAAACTGAGGCCCAGAGACGTGAAGTGATTTGCTTGAGGCTACCCAGCTAGGCTTTTGGTAGGCCTTGAACACAGCATACTTTCTGTAATTTCAGACTCCAAAACCCAGTGTCTGGTCTCTGAGTTCCAATTCCAAGCCCCCTTCCAACTTGGACACCCTGGAACCCATATGGTTCCCCCCACACTCACACACCACTGCCACCACTTGCCAACACCTCTCTTAAAGCAATATACCCGTTGTTTCTCTTGTTGGGAACCGGATGGACAGACCCCAGAGCTCTGAATGTAGCCTGACCAACAGGGAAGACTTCCTACGCTCAGCCTCTGTTCACCCTTGGCAAACCTTTCAAGCTCTCCTCCAGTAAAGTGGGGCCACAACTCAGTCCCCCCACCCTTTCCACGTCCCTGAGGCAGGGTCTGCTACACCCATGATCACCCTCCTCGGCAATTCCACCAGCCCCTGATGGCTCCATGCACCTCACCACTTGGAAGGCCTATGGTTCCAGAGGGGAAGAGGGCTGGTCAGCGCTGCCTGGACACCAGGGTGTACAGATCACCAGCATTTATGGCCACCCCAATCCAGAAGTAACCTCTAACAAGTCCAGGAGGAATTCTGAAGGGGCAGATGAGGGCGTGTGTAATTGGGCGGGGACGTCAGGAGAGCCAGCACCCTCACCCTTCCTTGGGGGCAAGTAGAGATGAGAGTTCTTTCTCCCACCTCCCTCCACGGACACCTCTGAGGTGTCTGCATCCTGTGCCCGAGCCAGTGAGTACACAGCGAGAGGATCAGGCCTCAGCATCCCAGTTTGTGAAACAGCAGCAGCCCTGGGACAGGAAGGAGGTTGGCGGGCAGGGGGAACTGGAGGGAAGCCCAGATGGTGCAAGTGGGTTGCACACCTGAGCCTGTCCTTGGTGACCACTCTGCTCCACCCTCTGATCTAGCATTCCCTACCCTCCAAGGCCAGAATGTCCTGAGCTAGGCTGGCAACCCCACCCTACCATCCCATCTTCAGGCTTATGCCAAGCAGCCAGCACCAGGAGTTCCTCTGGCCCCGAGGTGCCAGGCAGCTGGTGGGCAGCCCAGGCAGCTGGTGGGCACAGCTGAGAGGGGGGCAGTTCCTGTCTCCAGCCCTCACTTTTCTCACCCCCAGACCCCTTTCTACTCAACGGGTGTAGCCACTGGTGCTTTGAAGCCTTTTGTTTTTGTAAGATGGTTTTTGCAAGGGGACCAGGTTCTCTTTTCACTAGGACCTTGCGAGGCGGGGAGTGCTCCCTGGTTTCTGCGCAGGTGGGTTGATTAAAGATGGTGTTTTCTTCTCTATTTTCCTGTCCTGCCCTCTGGATCAGTGGGACCTTCTAAGGGAGATGTCTCTGCACAGGGTGGGCTGGGCTGAGTCGATGTCATCTCTGGGGCACTGGCCTGTGCGTCTGACTGGCTTCATGGCTTTGAGCAAGTCACTCTCCCCTTTCCTCATCCAAAGAAACTCAGAGGTCAGACTAACTCAGTGGGTTCCCAAACCTGGCTTCACCATCCCTTGAGCTTTCTACTTATTTTTCTGATCAGGTGCATTTTGAGTTTATGCTTCCAAATATCCTTTGCATCTTGGCTCTTCCCTCTTCCTGACAATTCAGTTCCTGGCTTGGAATGAGCCGGCACACAGTGCATTAGTCACGGGTTCCTGCACCCTACTCTTGACTTCCTGGATCCTGTTCTGGTGATACAGCCCAAGAATCAGCATTTTTAAATTTTTTTGTGTGTGCGAGAGAGAGCAGGTAATGTGTGTATATGGTACAGAATTCAGAAGGTTCCAAGGGGGTTAAATACTCATACCTGTTTTTCTTTTCTTTTCTTTTTTTTTTTCCTTGAGATATAGTCTCACTTTGTCAGCCGGGGTAGAGTGCAGTGGCATCATTGTAGCTCACAGCAACCTCAATCCTGGGCTCAAGCGATCCTCCTGCCTCAGCCTCCCAAGTAGGGACTATGGTATAGGCATGCACCACCATGCCCAGCTAATTTTTTCTATTTTTAGTAGAGACGGGGTCTCACTCTTGCTCAGGCTGGTCTTGAACTCCTGAGCTCAAGCCATCCTCCCACCTTGGCCTCCCAGAGTGCTAGGATTACAGGCGTGAGCCATCATGCCGGCCTAGGTTCTCTGCTTTTAAGGACTCATGTCATTAGATTGGGCCCACCCAGATAATCCGGCATTTTCTCCTCATTTTCGTTTTTTTTTTTTTTTGAATCACAGTCTTGCTCTGTCGCTCAGGCTAAGTGCAGTGTCATGATCATAGCTCACTGCAACCTCAAACTCTTGGGCTCAAGAGATCCTTCTGGCTCAACCTCCTGAGTAGCTGAAACTACAGGCATGCGCCACCATGCCTGGTTAATTTTTAAATTTTTTTGTAGAGACAGGGTCTCCTTATGTTGGCCAGGCTGGTCTCAAACTCCTAGCCTTAAGCAATCCTCCCACCTCAGCCTCCCAAAGTGCTGGGATTACAGGTGTGAGCCACCGCTGCAACTAGCCCCATTTCCAAATCCTTAATACATCTGCAAATTCACCTTTGTCATGTAACACACTCACAGGTTCCAGGAATTAGAATCTGGACATCTTTGAGGGCCACTGTTCTGTCCTCCTCACGGAACGAGTTATTTCTCGGTTATAGCAGCCCTGAATGTCAAATCAGGGAGCATCAGCCTGTTGGGACAGCCGTGGGGAACTATTGAGGGATTTTGTTCTCAAGCTACTGGATTAGAGCTGTTCTTTAGAGAAGTGGCAGGGTGAGGGGGTGGGTGGGTTGGAGAAGGAAAGCAGGAAGTGGTGGTTTGTCTGCAAGAGGCCTGGAGTTTCTCGCTTCTGCGTGTAAGCAGTGTTCTCGGGCATGTGTGTGATGGCCAGCGCCCTGTGTGTAAACGGGAGAGCTTGTGCAGCGTGGACTGTGGGAGTCAGGAGGACCTGGGTCCAAATCCCGAATTCACCACTCCGTGGAACCTGTCAAGCTGGTCTTCCCAGAAAATCCAGTGAGGTTCACCCAGCTCTGCCATCCCGAGGCCATCTCCCAGCGACTCCTATACATTAGAACAATCCAGGTAGGGCAGGCCACCTTGCAATAACTGCTGAGTCATAAGGGTGCCCAAGACGTTCTTTGAAGCAATAGACTATGAACTGACCCAAAGTGCATTTGACAAGCACATAGTAGCCTACTGGGATTTACAGACATACACACATTCTCTTCGATGCATTGGAATTTGGGTTTTGCAAATTTTAAACAGATGAGGGATAAGTTAGGTCCTGACAGCAAGGCCTCATACCCTCCTAAGAAGATTTATTACTCCAAAGGGCCAGCGCAATGTTTCTCAGTCTTACGAAGTTTAAAAATCCCATAAAATCCAGATTTCTAAGCCCCAGTTCCCCTGAGACACACTGATCCTGCATCTCCAGGGCAGTGGTGGGAATCTGTGCTTCCCCAGTGCCCCAGGTGATACAGGTTTGGCAACTCCTAGGCCCAGGGACAAGCATTCGGTTTTGAAACCACCTGCTCCGTCATCCTGGAGGCCCTGCCAAATGATGCCTGCCAGCCCTCGTGTATCGAGAACATGACTTGAAGAATATTTACTCAAAACTGAATTATATTTAAGCTCAATTTCATTTGTTACTGGCAATCGTACAACTGTTTTTAATGGATTAGTCATTTCAAAGGCTGTAATCAACACTTGAAATTAAGCGTTGGCTTAACTTCACCCCAAGGTTAGTTTGGTCAAAGGCAGGGCTGCTAGAGGGCAGGGCTCCTCGGGTGTGGGGAAGGCCAGGCTTTTCCTTCCTCCAGCTTCAGCCTCAATCATCTGGAGGACCAGCCCGAGCAAAAGTGAGACCCCGGCTCTACTAAAAAAATAGAAAGAAATTAACTGGACAATTAAAACTATATATATATATATACATATATATATATATATAAAATTAGCCGGGCATGGTGGTGCATGCCTGTAGTCCCAGCTACTCGGGAAGCTGAGGCAGAGGATCGCTTGAGCCCAGGAGTTTGAGGTTGCTGTGAGCTAGGCTGACACCATGGCACGCTACCCAGGGTGACTGAGTGAGACTCTGTCTAAAAAAAAAAAAAAAAAAATCACCTGGAGGAGGTGAGGGCAGCTCCACACCACCCCACCCCCACCCAGGCGCTGGCGGCCACACCCTGCCTTGGGCCTGGGTTCCAATGACTCAGCAGTTCCCCTCGGTCTGCCCTGGAACCAGGCTGAGCAGGCCCAGGCAGGCTGGAGCTCCAGCGAGGCTGGTGCTGAGTATCCAACACCTCCATTCTAGTTCTTCCTCTGCCCCCAACCACCTGTGACCTTGGGCAACTCCTCCCCGTCTGCCCTAGGTGATGTCATCAGTGAAATGAGCACGATATTCACAGGCTTCTTTACTGCTGACATTCTGGAATAGAGCTTCTCACCCTGGCTGCTTGGATCGCCACTCTCAAATACAGATTCCTCGGCTTCACCTGCATAACAGGTTCCAATTCATCAGAACCTGGGGCCCAAGCATCTGAATTCATCCTTCAAATATTAATTAAGCAGCTATTATGTGCTAGGCATAGGGGATACAGCTGTGAACAAAACATACCTCAATCCCTGCTCCTGGTGAGGGTGTCTGTTGGAGGAGACACGCAATAAATAAGCGAGTAAAATGTCTAATAGCTCAGTGTCATGGAGCAAAACTGGGCCAGGAAGGGGGAAGGGAGAACAGGACAGGGATCAATTCCACTTTTAAACTGGATGTCAGGTCAGTTAGGAAAGGTCCCACTGAGAAAGGT